TAAACAAATATAACAAAAAAGTACTTACATTTACAAAAAAATAATTACCATTTTAACTAGTTGTACAAGTCATTAGAATGTATCCAATATGTTTTATAAAAGTTCGAGAAGTTATTTAACATGTTTTGGATTGTTCAAGGACTTATTTGTTCCAAAAATTGTCCAAGGACTTATTTAACATTTTTTGGAATGTTTAAGGACTTATTTAACATATTTTGGAATGTCCAAGGACTTATTTGTGCCAAAAAATTGTCCAAGAACTTATTTAACATGTTTTGGAAAGTTCAAGGACTTATTTGTTCCAAAAAAAAGTTCAAGGACTTAATCATTCCAAACAAGAAAGTTCATTGGTTTTTATTGTATTTTTCCCTTTAAAATAAGTAAAAAACTTTAACAAATCAATAAATAAACATTTAATAGACAACCTAATAAGCACTTGTCAGGTCCTCATTTACTAGTTAAAGATTTCGGTCCTTGTTAAACCTCGTGCCGAATAAAATTTTTGATTTATGTCATGTTCAATCGGTAGTAAGTAATAACAGTAAACACTTGTCCAATAAACATTTAGTAAGCGGCCTGATTTTAATTTATTATTAAGAGACTCTCATGATATAATGCAAAATGAAATATAATTGTTTGGTAATTGTTTATAATAAAATTAGGGCGGTTAATGGTTAAGGGATGCACATGATACAAAATCAATCAGAAGATTTTAGAATCATTAAGAGACAATTTTTTTTTGCCAAACATGATTCACTTATTAACGATTCAGAGTGTATCTCTTAATTGAACTATTAAGAGGTAAATAAATAATCTTTTATTATACAGTAGAGATCATCATTTATGGGCTTGTAGGACCCAAGTCAAGCGTAACTTAGCAACGAGCCTAAATTTTTTGAAAAGTATCATAATATCTAAGCATCCAACACTCCATTAGGGCATCTCTTATGAAGGTTAATGGGGAGGATCATGAATGCCATTACATGCATCATGCATTGTGAAGGGAGGTTAATGGGAGTTGCATGGAATAGAGTTTCATGGCCATTGTACGCATTATAGCTAAATCAATGAGACCCACTAATTTATTTTTTCTTTTATAATTAAATTTGTAAGGATTTAATTATGATATTATATATATATATATATATATATATATATACACTATAATATGATATTTATTAATCAATAAATTAATTTTTATTTTTCTTAATTTATAGATAATATATATATATATATATATATGATGTGGAAATCCATTAAACTCATTGGAGTGTTATGGAGTGTAGGTATAAAATGATACAGTTGTATGGTGAGTGAAATGCTGATGTGGCAGTCCTTGACACTCTGGTAGAGTGTCATGCACTGGAGATGAAGAGCAGACTGCCTCACATAAAGCATCACCTTTTTGTTTTGCACGTGCTCAATGCATGTAATGTGGTACGGTACAACTTCAGCTAATTCATAGAGTAAATTACAATTTTTGGTCTATGTTGTTTACATAAATATATAGTATTTTATGCATTAAAAAATGTTTATAAGATTTTTGATAAATCTATTTTATAAAGTAGTATAGATATTTAAGAAAAAAATCAAGGGGGAATTTTGAGAAAAAGAATCCGCAAACCACACAAAACAGATGAACAAAAAATGCATAAAAAATGGATGTCAAATTATAGATGATAATTCACTCAAAAATTTATTACATTTAGCTGATTTTTGATTAAAAGATGGTGTTATTTATTTTTATATCTATACTATATTATAAAGTATTTGACAAAAACTCTTAAAAACCAATTTTTATGCATGAAGTACTGTTTCTTGATGCATATTACTTAAAATTCAAGATTACAAGTGATTTTGCGTAAGTACAACTAATTAAAGCTTCATTTTTAAATTCATGTAACTAGCTGCAAATAGCATAATCAAATACTGGATAGACATCTATTTTAAATATAAAAAATCTAAAATATAATTAAGATAATCATTGAGTTTCTAAACGAATGTTTAATTATTATCTTTAATAAAAATTATATAATTAAACCAAAAATAAATTATTTTGCTATTAGACCAAAATTAAATTATATAAAAAGTTGAATTAAAAAAGTTACACCAAAAAAACGAGAACTATTAAATAGTTGATTTAATACTAATATCAATTTCATTTTTTAAATTTTTTTATGCTATGTTCAAATTTATATTTCATTCAAAAATAAAAACATTACCGCTTTTTCAAAACTACATAAAACCGTATTATATCGATAGAGACAAATAATGAAAATTAAACATTAAAATGGAGATTTATCTCGTTGTATTACGCGAATAACCTTTTATTTTTTTTTAAATGGTTATAGTCATATCTCTTTGACATCTTAATATAAAATTTGATTAAAAAGATGGTTATAACCATTTTTGAAAATAAAATATAAATGTAAATGTAAAAGTAAAAAAAAAAAAAAAAAAAAAAAAAAAAAGGTAAACTACATTTTGGTTTTTTGTGTAAAGACAAAACAAATAAAACAAAAAAAAAAGGATAAAAAGATATAAATGCTCCTTATTTAATACTATAATTGTAATTATTGAAATACAGGAACAGCACCAAAATCGTAGAAAATTTATTGGAATATTCACCAACCAAATTAATTGGTAATGTACATTGTACACCAGCAATTTACACTTTTATCTCTTTTTAATGAGTAAAATTTGGTTTTAGTCCCTCAATTATCTCACTTTTAACGATAACGTATTTATCCTCAAAATCCATTGCTTTTGATCCTTTGGTTGACGGTCGTCAACTTTTTTTTATTCCGTCCAATTAAATGAAAGGTATTTTATTATTTCATTCATTTTTGTTAAATCTTTTATTTCAAAAATTAAAAATAAATTATATATATATATATAAAGAAAGAAATAATCAAATATAAATCTAATAAATATTACAACCGTAAAACAATTCAAATCATTTAATGGTTTTAGTTTTAAGTTATGATTCATATTGTTAGATATGTTTTTGTTCTTTTGTGTATAAGTGTGTATTTTATATATAAACGCATTTTCATGTTTTTTTCCATATGTAAAACAACCATAAATGTTTTATGTTTGGAAGAACGTTGCATATTTCACATGCGTTGTTTTGTATATGAGACAACACATGAAAATTAGTTTGTAAGTTTGTAATATTTATTGGTTTGTATTTGATTTGATATATATATATATATATATATATATATGTCGGGTTGGGTTCACGTGAGACCAAATGTTTTTCGTGAGAGCCGTAAGACCAATTTATGTTCAATGATCAATTTTATAAGCTAATGATCTAATGGTCTAAAGTTGTACGGTGACAATTTTGTGATTATTGAGAAGTTTCGTGGCAATTTTATGATTATAAATGTTTAGATTGTAGATATAATCTAAGGGTTGAAAATTGGTCTTATGGGTCTCACGAAAAACCCTTGGTCTCACATGGTCCTAAATATATATATATGTATGTATGTATGTATGTATGTATGTATGTATGTATGTATGTATATGTATGGAAAGGTTCATTTGAGAAATAAAAAAGTGATCATAGCCTTTCATCTGGTTGACATTTGCGGCTTTGACCATGAAACACCAGATTATTCGTTGCATGAGTATACAAAAAATGGAGGATAGTTTCATAACTTTTATAAATAGGCGGCAAACATGTTCATATTTGAACTCATGGGATTCACATATAAATTATATGTTCATATGTGAACTCGTTAATTAGTTCACATGTGAACTATTTAACTAATATACATATGAACCACCATCTTCATATGTAAATCATACGCATACGGATTCATATGTGAATCAGTTAAAATGACTTATATGTCCATTTATGGATACTTGAAGGGTGGGAAATAGGGCAAATCTGTTCGTAAGTAGAACTCTTTGAAATTGAAAGCGGTGTTCTCCAATGTAAATTACACGAGTTCACATATGAACATATAGTTCATATGTAAATCACATAGGTTCATAAATGAACCCGTTTGCCGCTTATTTTTAAAAGTTACAAAACTACCCCATCTATTTTTTACATAGCTGCAATTTTTAACCAATTAAAGCCGCAATTATTTTGACCAGTCAAATCTGATATTGACCAGATAAAGAGATATGATGACGTCTCTACTCGTCAAATAATTACCACTCTCTAATGAATACAAATAGGCTGCAAAACAAGTACATATGTGAACCCGGTGATTCACATATCAACAACATGTTTATATGTGAACCCGTGTAATTCACATATAAACTATTTAAGTGATTCATATATGAATTTGTGTGATTTACATATAAATTGATTAACGAATTCACATATGAACCTGTGTAATTCACATGTGCACTTGTTTGGTTCATATTACGAAACTACCTCTCTATTTTTCCGTTGACCAGTCAAGGCACAATCTTTGACTAGTTAAAGCTGTAATTTTTGACCATACGAAGTGCTAGTATCACTTCTTTACTTCATAAATACATACCACTTCTCAAATAAACCTCTCGCTATTTATAATCATATAAGGTTCAAACGAAAACATAATCAAGATAAGAGAATACGAGAACGTCTATATTATAAGGTTCAATGCAAGGCGTATACGCACGTTTGGGTCAATAACCTAAGAGCGTTGATTAAATATTAATCATTTTTTATTTTTAATTCCGTCCGGTTAAATAAAAGGCATTTTATTATTTCATTCATTTTCCTTAATTTTTGAAAAATAAATTATATATATATATCTATAGAGAGAGAAATAATCAAATATAAATCTAATAAATATTACAACCTTAAAACAATTCAAATCATTTAATAGAGTTGTACATACGGGGAAAACATTTGTAATAAATGGAAATTAGAAACCAATTTCATTAAAAGTGTATAATAGACCTATATCCAAATGTACTCCTTTATAAATAAATCTCACTTGCACCCCTTCATTCATACTTTCATCTATATCCTAACGCTTCCAAACAAAGCCACAATGGCCTCCTTTGCACTCAACTCTTTTGTTGGCCTTCGCCAATCTTCACCCCAAAGCCGCCACCATCACTCCATCATCACCACTCTATCGAAATGCCTTCTACCAAGCCAACTTCACTATCCCCGCCGTCTCAATGTTGTCGCCGCCATGTCCAGCCCCAAAATCGTTGGACGAAACCTTCGTGTTGCAGTCATTGGCGGTGGTCCAGCCGGTGGTGCTGCTGCCCGCACTCTGGCCGAAGGAGGTATAGAGACGTTCTTGATAGAGCGCAAATTGGACAATGCCAAGCCCTGTGGTGGGGCCATACCACTTTGCATGGTCGGGGAATTTGACTTGCCGATGGATATTATTGACCGTCGTGTCACTAAGATGAAGATGATTTCCCCGTCAAACGTCGCCGTCGACATCGGTCGAAATCTCAAACCCCATGAGTTTGTCGGCATGGTCCGCCGGGAAGTCCTTGATGCTTACCTCCGTGACCGCGCTGCTGAATCCGGCGCCACAATCATCAACGGACTTTTCATCAAAATGGAAAAACCACAAGATAAAATGGCACCTTACGTCCTCCATTACAACGACCACGATGGTAAATCCGGGTCCACCGGAGAAAAGTTGAGCATCGAAGTTGACGCAGTAATCGGTGCCGACGGCGCAAATTCCCGTGTCGCAAAATCTATTGACGCCGGCGATTACCAGTACGCCATAGCTTTTCAAGAACGCATCAAGATTCCAGATGACAAAATGTTGTACTACGAAAACCTCGCCGAGATGTACACCGGCGATGACGTGTCACCAGACTTCTACGGATGGGTGTTTCCTAAATGTGACCACGTTGCTGTCGGAACCGGAACCGTGAAACACAAATCCGACATAAAAAAGTTCCAGTTGGCCACCCGTCTCCGTGCGCATGACAAGATTCTAGGAGGAAAGATCATTCGGGTGGAAGCTCACCCTCTCCCGCAACAACCGCGACCAAGGAGAGTGGTGGAGAGGGTGGCGCTGGTAGGAGATGCGGCGGGGTATGTAACCAAATGCGCCGGTGAAGGAATATATTTTGCGGCAAAGAGTGGGCGGATGTGTGCAGAGGCGATAGTGAAGGGGTCGGAGAATGGGAAGAAGATGGTGAATGAAGGAGATATGAGAAGGTATGTAGAGAGATGGGATAAAACATACTGGTCGATGTTCAAGGTGTTGGATGTGTTGGAGAAGGTGTTTTACAGGTCGAATCCGGGGAGGGAGGCTCTTGTGGAGTTGTGTCGGGATGAATATGTGCAGAAGATGACGTTGGAGAGTTATTTGTATAAGAAGGTGGCAACGGGGAATCCATTGGAGGACTTGAAGATGGCCATGAACACAATTGGGAGCCTGCTTAGGGCCAATGCGCTTAGAAAGGAGATGGATAAGATATGATCACTTGATCTGTACGTCTTAACTTATTATTGATTCAATCCTGACTTCGAATCAATTTCTATCAGTGTTTTTCTAGCGAGTGTTGTTTGATTTTGGTTTAGTTGCTTGGCGAGTTTAACCGATCAGCTCTTTATTTATGCTTAATGAGTAAGTCGAAAGCTTTACAAATACTTTCGTAGGACACAAATGTTGAAATAGAAGCATTTAGTTAAAAACAAATGTTTTACTAGCCTACATCTTTGACGATTTTAATGTTAGGACCGTAGTAGAAATGAATGAAGAACTTACATAGAAAATAAATCTAGATCCTAATTCTTGAAAGTTACGCGAATCTTCTAGAAAGAGAGGGGTGCCTACGAGAACGCGGACACATGGTTCCTCAGTGAACAACGGCCGTAACTATAACGGTCCTAACGTAGCGAAATTTCTTGTCGGATAAGTGTAGAGAAGCAAAAAGAGGAAGAAGAATAAAGAAAAACAAATTGGTGGCACACTTAAAATGATCGGCCACCCTATTATGACAACCCTTGAAATCTTCCAGGTGCCATGCACAACCATCTTGTTTTGAATTGGATTTCTATGTGACAGAGCAGAATTATATTCCATTTCTAGATGGCCATGTAGATTTTCTTTGAGCATTTTCGGTGAGGAGCCGTTTACCAAACGCTTATTCGGGTAAGTGAATACCAAATCACATTACCTTACCGGATGAATATGGTAAAAATCAAAAAATCTTATCCGATAAGAGCGAGACAAAGACCAAGAGTCTTACCCGGTAAGTGAGAGCGACGACTCTTACCATGGTAAGAGCTTACCGGGTAAATGTTGTATACGATACTGTTTTGGTGGACTAAAATCTTACCCGATAAGTAAATGATAATGTTAAACTTTACCGGTAAGCGCTTACCGGGTAAGTGTTGGTTAACGGCCCCTAAGACTTGATGAAAAAGTTGAGAAACACTTGATGAAAAGGTTAGCCATTGAACTAATAACTTGAAGAACAACTTAACATCCATGAAATAAGTATTTGAAAATGATTTTGGTTTAGTGGAAATTATTGTTGATGCTCTTATAGCTTTTGCCTTTTCACCTTGTGGTTTTCTTTGGGCTCCTTGGTAAAAGCTTTGATCTTGTTGTCATTGGGCTCACTGCAATTAATCGACTTCATTTCTTGGATAAGCAAAATCCATAAAATAACAATTTATTTTTATAATTTTTTATAGCATTGTATTTTCAGTTTTTTATTATATCAATGTATTTTCAAACTATTTTTTATTAAAACAATGTATTTTGAAAATTTTACCTATTATAGCATTGTATAACATTTTGATTTAAATTTACCCATTATACCAGGTTTTCATGCCACYTCATTGTCCACGTAGGTTGTCCACATGTACTATAGTGATGTGACTTTCTCATTACAATATTGTAGTTTCAAAATTATTTTATTATAGCATCTATTAGTTCTTATTAAACAATGTACTTTTAATTTTAATATTTAAATATTTTACATGTTATTTAATGAATATATTAAATGAATTAAAAAAATAAGTTATTCAATAATATATCAATATTAATAAAACTAGCAGAAGACAATTTTTCTCGTTAATATTTAAAAAAAAATATGTGTTTTTTGAAAAAAGAAAATAAGAATTGTTTCTTTTTTACCAAAAAAATATTATCTTTTAAAGAATATATAATATTTGTTCAAAAACTTTTACTTGACGTATAAGTATATTAAATCAATTAGATTTTTTGAATTATTTATTAATATAACAATATCAAAAAATTGTAGATCACAGTTTATTTCGTTAACATTTTAGAGAGAACTTTAAAAATATATGTATTTTTTTTACAACATAAAATAAGAAGTGCTACATTTTTTACAACATCCACTTTGGTATCTTATTGAACAAAAATGGTGATATTGTTGATCGTGATTTTGAACTTGTTCTTTCCATGACCCCTCTTAATTGATACAAGAGATCCAAGACTTGAAGTAGGAGTCACTTCGGTGAGGATCAACCGGTAGTGGGTGAGGGGATTGCTTTTTCCTTGAACAGTTCTTTCAAAAAACGAATCGATCTGATTGATGAGTCATAAGAAGACAATTCAAAAAAAAAAAAATAATGACGATTCAAAATATATCTCAAAAATAATATATCATATTTATTTAAGAAATATTTTACTCTAGAATATTTAATTTGCATGCAACTTAATAAGAAAAACTCAAAAAAATTAAATGTTTTTTTAAATCATAACAATGAAAAATGAAAATCACTAATAATAATTTAAAATAGTTTATTTTTATTTTTATTCTAGTTAAGTAATCAAAAGGATGTGATGCACATCACCTCATTAAAGCCACACAAGCAAAAAAAAGTCAAGGAATTAACCGGTTTAAAAGGTAACAAGTTGCCTATTACTATAATGGATAAATTTTTTAAAGTGCAATGCCTTAATAAAAAATAATTTGAAAGTAAATTGTTGTAATAAAGAAAAACAAAAGTAAAATACTATAATAAGAAAATTTATGAAAGTATGTTGTTATTTCATGCATTTAACCCTTTCTTGGATTAGCCAAACTATTGCACCAGTTGTCTTGCAACTCTTCGATCTCTAAACCTCGATCCAACATTATCAATTCGTCTAACCAGTTCTGCTAAAAAAAAAGCACAAAACAGTACAAATACCCAAAACACCACCCAATGAAGATCGAATAAACATTAAATGTGAACAATTAATGTAAATGCAAAATGCAACTAAAAACTAACAATGTCATATAAATAGAATGCACTTAACAAACCTCCACACAAGCTAAACTTTCTTTGTCCCCATGAAAGAAATTAGAATTTTATTTCAGTGAAAGAAAAAGAAAAAGAACGAACAAATAGCTCCAATGATGTCAAAATGAGTTTTGCGACAATATCACAAAGGCATAAATAAGCATTAGGATCATAAATCGTGCAAATACAACTAAATACCATGTGTTGGGTTAAAATAAAGTAATTAGGAACATTCAAATTCCAAAGCGTCTTATGAACACATACCAATCAAGCATATCACAACCTAAAAAGATTTCGCAAACATACCATAGCCGCTATGGGAAGGGATATTGATTTATAAGGATGGATGCTCACGATATCGCTCAATACTCTCAAGTGTGCATACGCTCAAATCGAGATAAATGAAACGTAATCTTGTCGCTATTAAATTTATTCTCAAGTCTAAGAGTTTACCACAAAATCACATGTAATAAGGGTCTTGGGGTGAGGTGTGGGGGTTAAGGCTACCGTGTTAAGGTATAATTAGGCTCGTTTAAAGGTATTGGGAATTTAATTTCAGTTTATTATTTTTTATGCACATAAGAGTTCTTTCCTAATATTTTTGATGGATAAACATTTTTTTTTTCGTTTACATTTTTTTTATTTTCTCTCTTTTTTTGGCATTTTTTTTATAAAAGAATTTGTGAACCCACAAGCTAGGCTTGTTTTAGGGATTTAACAAACCACCCACAAACTATGCTTGCGTTTATTTTTACACTACTGCCTAGATCCATATGCCATTTTGGAAAGTATATTTTAATGTACTTTTTTGCCTGTTTAGTCTGAAAATTAGGTGCAAAATAGAAATTAATTTTAAAGTTTTTTTTTTGCCTTTGGGAATGTTTTGAGAAATCATGGTCTCTACGCAAATTCGTGATAAACTTGGAAGAGAAACGACTTAAAAGCCATGAACTATACCTTGATGAGAGGTAACACACAAGAAATGAGAAGTAGGATTGATTACATATATGATATATGTCAATCCGAAAGGCCCAAAATCTCAATAAGTAGATCCATCCAAAATAATCACGGTTGTAATGTAGGGGATTACGGTATGCAAACTAATCTAAAATGGTGATGCGGAAAAATATGCTCAATAGTGTGTGTAAATAACAGCTAAGATAAAACATTATTAAAAGAAAAAAAATTATTTAACAACATAACAAGTAGTTACTATGTGCAATTAGTTGATTAAACAACTCAAATATGCAAAATGAGACGTTGTGTACAACAAGTTCTAACACAAGGGAGAGTAATGAAAGAATATTTTTCGAATTTTCTATATGAAAAGAAATATGAAACAAAATGCAAATAAAATAAATGAACTAAGCCTAAATGCAAAGATGCTATAAGAAAAATAAAAGATGAATACCCACTCACAAACTAAAAATTAGCATTGTCCACGATGCTCAACTACAGGTAAGGGCTAAAAACATCAATACGAAGGGAAAGGTCTTGACATTGTGCACGTGTGAAAGGAGGATCTTCATCTCATGGGTTTCAGTCTGAAGACAAGAAATCTCGCTTCAGATCTCATTTACCACCCTAAGGATGTACCATTAGGTGGAAACATGTCCTTGAGGAGGGGAAAAGAATATGGAGGACATGCGGCCAACAATGTAATGAGACCACTACAACAAATATCTTCCGAAGTAGTGTCAGAAACTTTTTCAAATTTATGTACTAATCATGCTGCTATTTCAGGTGGATCACAAAAAAATCATGCGTCATGACCCAAAGGATAAGTCATTCCTTATGAGAGACCGTGCCATGGTCACATCGTGCAAATAGTGTTCAAGAAAGGATGCGAAGGGCTATGCAGAGGCATGGATAAACGATTAATGATGTTTTGGTGGAGCGTGGAATATATATGTAAGAGTCTGCAATGCTATGCCAAAATGGTTGTTTGTTATTATCAGAAGGGTATCGGTGACATGTGTTGTGATATTTGATCACATTTGATGTTGTACAACAAACAAGACCAGAGACACCGCTAGTTTCACAGCTAGTTTAACTAGCGATAGAACTTGCCTGAGACTTTTTTGACCGACGACAACAAAGAAGCTTGGCCATCCCTTTTCCCACTCCATCATCTTTTCGGCCATAACTTTCTCCTTTCCTTTTGTCAATATGTTAATTTATGTATAAAAGGACTTTGCCTCATCCATCACCAGT